ACAAAAATTTGGTGTAAAATTTTGGTGTTCGAAGCATTACTCGTGTTCCATTTGTGTTTATGTATTGAAAAATGCTACGGACATCGACATTTGAACCATGTTTGTGAACCGTGGTGGGAACCATGTTTAGTCCTAAGGTGACCTTTGAAAGAGACCATACATCCTATGTGTAAAACGTATTAAATTACTAGTTTGACCACCCCATAGTTTTTGTAACGCTAAAAATATCTAGATTATATGGTCTTTTAAGATAAAGTGGCTTCATCTTTATTCTTTAATTTCTTATTAATAACAACTATTAACAAGCAATGAAGTTTCATTTAATAAGAGAGAGAAAAAAAACTCTCACTGTGCATTTTCAACTATAATATTGTAAACATTAATACAAATAATCACATTCTTTATTTAATACATTTATACCTATTATTATTATAGATACATTAATTATTGGTACGGAGAAAGAATTTTTTGAAAAAGTTAACGTATAGTAACCATAGATCACTTCCACTATACAAAATCTCATTATATATATATATATATATATATATATTATTAAATTGAAGTGCTTTTGATGGTTTTTGTTGAATTTAACTCATGTTATTTTGAAAGCTTGTTATTTATTGAAGTTTAATTTAACTTCGATGCTAGAACCGATGTCAAGATATACATGTATTATAAAATATTAAAAATAAAACATTTTGTTTTAGTTTTTTACCGACTTCACTCTTGTCGTTTTTAAGATCATATAATTACTCTAAGAGGAAGAAAATAAAAATTATAAAATTCCACGAATATTTAATCAGATTTATGATAAGTTTTGAGATGACAGTCATAAATAAATAAATAAAACATACAATAATTATTATTTATTCATAACTCATAATACATTCATCTCCATGAGTAGAGTACACTGTATAAAAACAACATACCATTGTTTACTATTACTTTAACCTTCCATGCCCCTTATTCATTAATAAAGTTTACATAAACTCTTGGTAAAGAGCTTTCGATCAGCATTTAGGGAAGGTAATACCACAGGTGCTGGCAACCTTTTTAGCATTGGGAGAGTTCACATATTGCCTCAGATTCGGGTCCTTGAGGTACCCACAAAGGCATGGCTTCTGCTCCCTCAGCTTGCTGCAGCAAGTCGGCGACGGTGGGGACGATGAAGTGATCGCTGGCACACATGAGCTCAACTCCGTTGGGCTACATGCTCCCTCTGCCACATGCACTTCCTTGAGTGATAGTATCACCACCAAACTCAACACTGCAACAAGAGCAACGCTGATCTTCTTCATGGTCGATCGAAAGAGAATATTAAAACAAGTGAAAAATGATGAAGGAGATTGTAGATGAGATGAGATGAGATGGTGGTTCTGAGTGGAGTTTGTCACTGAATTTATAGAGGAAGAAGTGTGAAATCAAATGAAGGAAGAAACATAGTTTGGCGTGTGAAATGATCAGAATGGACCTGGACAATTGAATTCGGCCGGTCCCACTTCGTTGAAACGAGTCCATTAGAAAGCAAACGTGTCAAACACACAGTGTATCAGAAAAGGCAAATCATTTAAGATTCAAAATTACTAAATTAGCTTGAAAAATATTGGGAAAAGACAATTTTTATTAAAAAAAAAATCCTAAATATAAATGTTTTGAATTTGAGTATAATTTGGAAGTTAAGTCTGTTTTTTATTTTCAATAGTCTTTTTTTTTAAAAAAAAAAAAAGTAAATAAGAGTTTTATGGATCACTCCTAATAATGTTTGAGAGGACCCAAACTTAAGAATTTGTGAAACTTCTTTTTGTTCTATTACCAATTATGTTTTCTTAACTAAAGAAAAACACAAAAAAAATTAACAAATTTTTTTTCTTTGATTAAACACATTTATAGTTTTTTTTCTTTAACATGTTTTTAAGTTTTAAAAGAAACTCAAGATAAAAATTGTTTTGAACAGTGGAATGCAATCGTGGGCGCCGCCGGCGATTCCTTGAAACACGAAGAGCGGGAGAATTCCCGGCCGTGCCTCCGGTAAGATGAGGCCGTGACATTCCAATGAGTAGAATGAGAAATCAGAGAAATAGAAAGAACAGAAAGAGAAAATGAGTAGAGTCATGAATAGTGGGTTAAGTCCCCAGCCGTGCCTCCGGTAAGATGAGGCCGTGACATATACCAGAGAGTGTATAGAAAAGAGTATGAGAAATAGAAACAGAAAGAGAACAGAAATGAGAAAAGAAGAGCGTAAGGAAAGAATTAAGAGAAAGAGTACGGGGATAGACGAGTAGAGGATTTACTTACTGAGCATTATTTTTTGCTCACCTCGTTATTTTTCTATGTTTTTGCAGGTTCTAGATGAGGACGCAGTCGGATGGATATCGGCGGGCGAGGAGGAGTAGTTACACTGTCCACCACACTTTTGAGAACTTTTGTAAAGGATACTGACTTTTGTAAAAGATTATGTAAATGAATAGAAATTTGAAAACAAAGTCTTACTTCTCACTAATTATAGCCATAATCTTCGTAAAGAATATTGACTTATGAGACCCTAATAATTGGACAAATATGAAGTTAATTTATATTACTGTCTTTATGAATTTAGTAGTTCCTTTAAACTTCAAAAAATAATGATAAACTTAAAAAAATGAACCCTCACGATTTTAGTGGATTTATGGAAAAAAACAAAAATTGGCATTCTCGTGGTGTCAGTGCGATATGCGGTCAATCCACATCTACTCTGCAATCTCTCATAAATAAAGATTCCAAAAATGAATTTGATGCTGCATTTACCTGAAACTTCGCCAATAATTCAATGCTTACTCTTTAATGCTTATTGCATTATTAGGTAATCAGTAGGGAAATAAATTTCCTTCTTTAAATGTGAGGGATGTGACACGTAGATTCCGAAACAAGTAAACTATTGGCTCTTGATGAAACACCACAGGATTAACTTCGGGATCAAAGATATTTATTCCTAACTTTCATTGCGTTTGTAAGTTCAGATTTTAGATTATCTAGAGTGCATTGTGATTTATTTAATCTTCTGGATTTATAGGATATTTAATAAATTTTAAGAATTAATTAAGAGATTAGTTTAAATATTCGTAATCTGACTTAATATCCAAAAAAAAAAAAAAAAAAAAAAAAAAAAAAAAAAAAAAAAAAAAAAAAAAAAAAAAAAAAAAAAAAAAAAAAAAAAAAAAAAAAAAAAAAGGCTTCTACATTTTCTTTAAAAAAATCAATAATTTATGTTAAACAGAAATTAAATCTTGAAAGAAATAGGTTTCATTAATTGGTTAATGTCTTTTCTCTTAAATATGTAGGACAAGACATAGCAGTGGGTAGCTGGGGTAACAAGAATAATTTATGATATTATAGACGTTTACCTTCGGCGTCACGGTCACGGTGAAACAGATGGCAGTCTTTTCATGGTTGTACAATTATTCAATAATGGATTCAATTACAGATTTTGACACTTGGAGATTAATCTTCATCTTACTGCTGATATAAATACAAACCTACAGTTCTTCTACAACAATTACAAAGGATTTTGTACAAGCTCTGTAGAAGTTTTTTTCTTAAAAATCTGAAAATTTACCTCCATGATTGCAAAGTCTAATGTTCATGATGCTTGCTGCCCACTTTTGTCATACCAGTTCATGAATCTGCGGAGTGACAAACTCAGCAAATGGATGGTGAAATTCAAAACGAGTCAATTAAAATTGAACAGAAATAAGCATTTTTAAAATGTAAATAATGAGCTAAGCCTTCTGAATTTAGAACTAATCATTAGCGGAATTAAGCTGCGAATCTCCTTTCTGTGTAACGCTGATTATTTGCACATTCTATGGCAATCTCGATTTCCATCCCATTAACAGGAAGCCTAATATGGGATTAAAAAAGACAAAACAAACATTCTTTAGAATTCTTCTCTGATTTGAATCTATGGCTGATGTTAAAACTAGGAGATCTTTATTTCCCTACTAAAAATCGCTCATGTTCTCGTTGATATCTAACTTTGATACTCCTAAACAGTTTCATATAACGGCTCCTGCCTGGACCAGAATTTAGTCTCATATTCAATACCAAGCTTCCCCGTTAAAAGTTTTAATATATTCGTTCTGTTATGGTTGTCAAATTCCCAGTAGCTATTAGAGAAATGTTTCAAGTAAAGACTTTCTTGCATACTCTTTTCCAAATTAATCATGCAGATGCAGAGATCCAGTTGGCTTTACTTTCTTCATGCTCGAAACAATATTTTATCCCAACTACACTCATGGTTCACAAGGTTCGTCTAGTGTTATGGAAACATTGAAAAAATCAACATATTGTCACCAACAATTTCAATCTTATAACACTTTGAAAAAAGCTAAATGTCTTCCTTACTAACTCAGAGGAAAACAAAATTTTATCTCATGTTTTCATTCTTAAAATTTAGCTGCTTTAAAGCTTTTCCACTACTTGCTGTTCCAGGAAAGTAAGGTAGTAACACCATAGCGGCTTGTGGAATACTTCAGAAAATTCAGAGCAGCACCAAATTACACGGTTTGTAATCTGATCTTTCCTTATCACCATCTGCCAATTTCTGTTCGACTTCTAAAAACATTTACTGTAAATACCCAGTAAAGAAAGGATCCATAGACAGAGTTGTCCCTTTCTCAACATTTTTGCATTTAGTTCTGTATACTAAGATATATGTGTCAAGTAGAAGGGTGTAGATTTTGCAAGCTAACTGCAGGATAATTGTCTAACATGTATGAGCTAATTATAGGAGTCAACAATCCTGAAGGACAAAAAGGGCCAACTTTTACCACATCTGTCAATTAAATAACAGAATTTAAATCCAGAATCTCAAAAGAGCGTCTGACCAATGAAAGAAATAATATGACAGAATTAATAATGTCTTATAATTTATTATGTTAAGATGTAGCACGATTTCTCTGCTATTTTGTAGAAAAATGAAAGTGAAATAGATTGGTACTCATTACAGTAAGTAATCGAATAACTCACCAGGAAATAGTGCTCCATTTCAGGAAACCTCCTTGACCTCTAGCATTTACGAAATTGTAAATGGCACCAGAAACTAGCCACAGAAATCACCAAAAACTTATTATTTAAGGTCATGAAAAGCCTAAACTTTCAAAACCACTAGACAATATTACCAAATCATTGCCAATATCTAATTACAAAATCATTTATGCTTTAAAGCAAATATACCTTCATAACCTCCCACCACTGGATCCTCTAGCAAAAGAAGAGGGCTATTCAGATTAATATATCTGCAAACAAATTTGCAACAGAAATAAGAAAGTATTAAATTTTTACCGCGTAAATTTCAGTGGTTGTGCACAAGAAGTAGATAAAATTTTTCAATAGAAAACTACTGCCTACAAGTAACTATTTGCTACAAAATGAAGTCACAAAAAGAACAATTACTTGAAGCATCCAAGACCAGCAGCCAGGTGACCTGCAAAGCCTGTGGCAAGTCTTGTCTCAACCATGCCATCGATCATAAGCTTCATGCCGCATAATCTAGCAACCTCAACAATTTCAAGGGTCCCCATGACCCCAAATTTGGAAAGTTTAATGTTAATAACACTAGCGAGATTTTCCTTGATAACTTTCTGAACATCAACCAAACTCTTGACACTTTCATCTGCAATGACATTTATCCCATATACGTCTCTCGCGACATTATTGACATCACGAAGACCTTTCCAATCATCTCTATGAACCGGTTGTTCAAATAGAAAATGAATTATCCCCTTATCTATAATACATAACAATTCAAGATGCTTTCATTAATCAAAGAAACAAGAAAATCCAACAATAACTTAAGAGCATGTTTTACCATTTAACTTTCCAAGTGCTTCAATTGCTTCCTTGGAACTGTATCCTTCATTTGCGTCCAAGATAAGTGAGCAATGGGGATGAACAGTTTGTATGGCTTGTAGAACTTCAATATCTGCATTCAGATCTTTTCCCACCTTAAGCTTTAAGGTCTTAAATCCCAATTTACAGTATTTTGAAGCCAATTCAGTGGTTTCAGATGGGGAGACAGATGGAATCTGCACATACAAAAGTATCTTAGACGAAGTCTGAAATTTAACTGTAAAACCAACAAGGCAACAAAAGCTAGCAAGCCACTGCCATATTGTGGATGTAAATCAGAAACTCAACTGTAATAGCAGTGGATAGGCTATTCGACACTCCACCAAACAATCTCCATAGGGGCACATCAATGCTACTGGCAACTGCATCAATCAATGCCATTTCAACTCCTGTCCTAACCTTCAATCACAGATATAGCAGCTCAACAAGTTGAACAAAATCCTTCAAACCAGCACACACAGAAAGGAAAATCTCTTAGAAAGAGTTGACCACTGGGCTTAAAAAAAGTCAATGAAACAAAAAGGGTGCTGACAATTATCTTTTTGCACAATAACAACGCTCACAATTCATCTTAATTAATATTACTTTGAATAAGAGTTTATAGATGTATCTCAATCAGTCAGTGTGCCGGCGCCAGTGATGGAATCTCAATCTTGTACTAATCATACTTCATAAATCATTAGCTCATCCAATGAACAAGTAATTGAAAGCGATATAAGGGACCCTGACTCCCTGAGCAAATTATGCAGAATAGACCAATAGTAGTTTTAAACCTCAAAATTTAACGTTTCTATTCATCTATCACATTTCAACCATGACATATGAAAGAATAAAATCAGATGCAGTTGTCTTCATGCATGAGCATTATCAGAACCAGCTCTGACGACAACTAAAAACCATAGAACTAGATTTTGCTCTAGATGGGTCAACTCAAGACCTCTGAAAATTAAAGAAAAAATTAATTGTCTATTTGACATGATAAATTTAAATCCATACAGTTAAGAGGTTTATCCGCCAAACTCAAATATTTAGCAAACGGAACATAGTCCGTAAACATCAAATACAAATCACCAAAAAAAATCAAATAAATTTTAAAAAAGAAAGCAACTACATTTTAATTGTACTCACAGAAGCAAATTCAGCCCCAGGAAGAATTGCTGCAATCTCATCAAGAGCCAGATTCAAAGTCATTGGTGGAGTTTGCCTCAGAAACTGACATGCCTCTCTCACTTTCACAAGAGCCTTAGCTTGATCATCTCCACCAACCAAAGGAACCACTGCCACCTCACCCCACCCAACACATCCATTACTCAACTCAATTCTAACGCCCACATTCTCCACCTTCTCAACACTTTCTGAACCTACATTTATCGCCTCAGAAACAATAACATTAAGCGGTCTCCCTTCTGCTCCATGTACATCAACCCAGAAAGTCTCAGTCAAATTCTTGAACCCAAAGCTTGTCCTCTCAGTCGTGGAAACCGTTGACTTAGCCATCACATTGTTGACACAAAACTTGATAACCCGTTGGTGCCTTTGCATGTTAGTTGGAACATTATTTTGCTTAGGAGAGAACAAAAAGAGAGAAATGGGTGAAGAGAGAGCTCCCATTTTGGTTAATACAGTTTGGTTAATGAGAATGTGTGAGAGATGCCATTAATATTGTCAAATATATATTGTTGTTTTGTTTGTCGGATTGTGATCGTCAGTAGCTAGAAGAAGAAGATAATAATTGGGAAACCATATTTTGGATACAACTTGGAAGTAATTAACTGAACTAAGCGTCTCTTGGTGAATGTAAGAGGCAAAAAGCTTTGTATTATTTAAACAAAAGGACAGAGAAGCCAAAATGAGTGTCTCTATATTTTATAAACTTCTCTTCGTCTCTTTCTGTCATTTCTTTCACATGAAACGCATGCAACTTGCCTTTTAAGTATTTTATTTTCGACTGATTATTTTAAGAACCCTAAAGTTAAAACTTACATTAATCATGATTGATGTCACATGGGGGGGTTGTTAATTTGATTAAATCCTAAACTATTCTTCTGAATGATGTGATAATTATTAAAATATGGGGAAATTATGATAAATGGTTCAACACTGGTTTCATAAAAGAGGTGGTTCATGATAAATTTTAGAGGAATATTATGATTTTTTTATCTTTCTATTTTTCACAATTAGAAGATGAATAAAATTAGATAAGAAATTTTTTAAAAAAAAAAATTGCTTAAATTGGATTAATTAAAATGTTAAAAAGGGTGAGATAACATCTCCGGCAATGTGGGGCTAAGTATTGTTTAATATTTACAGTCATTGATCCAAGTGTTAGAATAGTGAGAACAAACAATTTTGCAGGCAAGGGCCCATTAGAGAAATATTCTGAATCATCGGTCAAATTATTCGTCTTCCTCATCTGTCATTGTCTTTAAAAAAAAAAAAAAAAAAAATCTGTACAGAGTTAACACTATGAATCTGACATATAGATGGAAGGAGATTACATAAAAGAACTTATAATTTCATTCAAGGTTAGGATTAGGGTTCACACTTCCACTAAATGTGTCTTGCAAAATATGGGTTAATTCCATTTCCACATCTGAGGTTTGGCCTAAAACTTTTCCTTTTTTTAGGTTCTGATATTAACGATTGCACCCCTGTTTTCTACTGTTTAATTTTATGAATTAAGGGTATATTTGTCATTTAACATCATTAATATAAAAATACATCGTGCAAAATTTATTTGTTTCTACATTTATTTACTTGGTGCGGGTCTTTTCCACGTTCCTAACTTTCCACCAACCTTGCGTCCATCCATCGTTAACCCAAGACTTAATTGTCATGTGATCTTTAACCCTTCTCATTGTTTTTTCAGGACTAGTGACTGCTTTTACTATCTTGATTGTTGTCTGACCAAAAGAACTGAGAATCGGTTACCCCAGTCATTCCTTTCCGAAATTCCATCAACCAGAGAGAAAAATCTGGCTTCACTCACCGCCTTGGGCATCCTTCTTTTAGTACTTTTAAAATTATGTTTCCTTTATTTGTTCAAAGAGTTGATGTAAAAATTACATCGTGATGTATGTGAATTTCAAAACATCGTGGGCTTCTTTTCCAATCGTAATAAAAGAGTTCATCTTTTGCTTTTATACCATCAGAGACGTGGGGCAATTTGTTTGATCGTCATGGCCAAGTTGGTCTTAGCGCCATATTCAGCACTGGCCATTTGATCATCTCGTCAAGATGGCCAGTTGTTCTCAGGCGCCAGTTTCAAGCCTTTCAGGCACTGGTCCGAAAGGGCATGGGTTTGAATCCCTATCTCTTCCAAGATCCATTCATGGTCCTTTTTATCATTTTCGCTAAAAATCAGCAATGAGATCCATCTGCATTCTAAGAATTTGAAGAAAACCACCTGATTTCTTCCACCAACTATGAATTTCAAAAATAACAAAGAAGAAACTAAATTGTTTTCATTTCTTTTTCCTATATACATGAGGAACCCCGAAAAATTAAAAAATGATTAAAATCATATATCTCAATGTTCACATGTTTTGAACTCAGATAATGCCAAACAAAACTTTAACTGAATTGGGAGTGAAAAATACATCATTTATCCTCTGTGGTCTTTGCTTTGCCCCTGAGCATGTCTGTGAAATTCCCCCTCATAATTCGCCTGAATCTAGTGTCCTCTGCCGCAAGAGGTGCAGTGACTGTAAGTGGGGACTCAACTGGCTCAGGTGTGGTGGGTGTCAGTGGCTCTGCATTTTCTTTCTTGCCCAATAGTCCGCCTTCACCAAAGGCTGGTAACTGATGATGCAATCCCAAGATGGCACCCATTACCTTACTGATAGCATCAAGAGTTCCACCTGACCTTTCTTTCAATATTATTTCAAGGGCTTCTTTATGTGCTGGGTCCAGCGCTCGGGGTCTTTTAACAGGTTTTGTATGGCAGGTAACAGGAAGTCTCGGACATTGGTAGCAAAAGATCTGAAACAAGCATACATAAGCATAAGTAACACATCAAAACAATAAGCATCCAAATACGAATCCGCATTTAAGGCAGTTGACAAGGGGCAATCTGTTTGTAAAACAGATATGTCTTAAGTATATAATTTTCATTCGCACATATTCTGTTATATTAATTTATAACTGAATTAATCACAACATTTAACACCAGTGAGGGTATAGAGAGCGAACATAAGTGAAAAATACTCAAAGGATAACAGAAGAATAAACTATGTAACACATGTAGCTTCACTGAACTTCTTTGATTGAAAAAAAAAAAAAAAAAAATTAGAACAGTTTAGAGAGTAGCTTTACCAACATGAAAATTTGCCATTAAAACACTATCTAAAGATACAATGGGAAAAGCAACAAAACAATTGCAGACTGTAAACAATCAGACATTTTAAAATAAAACAAAAAAAAAAAAACAAAATCTGAAGATGTAGGAGGAAAAAAAAAATGTAGTTTGTAAAAAGTTTTTTATTAATTGAAACAGAAAATTCAGAACGCAATTTGATGAATTAGATTTCTTTAATCTAATTTTAGGACAGCTGACTTTCACATGAACAATTAAAATAACCATCCGAACTAGCTATGTGAAAATGTAATGGATACTACTGAAACCTGCAGCATCCAAAGCCGGATTATTCACAGAAGCGTTAGCTCTCTCACGGACGACGCATGACATCACTTGAAGAAGTTGGCATTGCTGAAGATGGAAAATCTTGGACAACAAATGTATATCAGCTAAGAAATAGCAGTTTAAACTGATGGCCTAGACACCAGGAACCCAAAGACTAGAAACATATATATATATTCTAAAAAATAACATAATAAATAATAAAAAAAAAAAAACATAAAAACAAACTAAAGCAACAACACCTCTCATTTAGGATATCTCTGAGTCTATCAGTTTGTGTGGTACTGCCACCACCAATGAACGGACCACAGCAACAGTTGCTTCATGGGATCCATCTTCAAGAAAAGCATCCATTTGAACTCGTATCTTATCACAATCTACAATATGCAATTTATTAGGACAGTGTAAGGAGACTGCAGAATTAAGATTTAAAACATGAAGTCAAACCAAAAAATTCATACCAGTCATTTTAAAATGTTGTGCCACAGCTCCAAATGCATCTATGCTTGCATACTTCACATTCAGGTTTTGGTCAGACCAAGGTAACCAATGCAGGAAGAACTGAGTAGAGCAACTTTTGCATCAATATATGGTACCTACAGGATAAATTAAGTCAAAATAGTTTCAAAAATTCATGTTAGGGGTAACTGGCAATGACACATCATAGAATGTACCTTACAATGACTTTCAACAGATTGGCAGCATTGATTTTCATATCCAGTTGGAGCTGACAACCATTTCCCATAAAATATTAATACCATCCATGATATTCCTCATGTGCTGCATTATAGAATATATCAATAAGTTAGAAATAATAGAAAATAATTAATACTTAAAGATGTTCATCACTAAACAACCGAGGAGCGGACAGCATTAACAGTCTCAGCACTGAGCTTCACGAATGGTTCTCTTTCATGGTGCCTTCAACTAACAGCTTTCTTAAGTAGTCTGCTATTGTTCATGTTTGCTGGGAGAACCTAAACACCCAGCCAAGACAAGTGGAAGTACACACTAGTAGCAAGTTTCTCAGCCACAGCAGTTTTCGGTTTCAGACCTCAATCAATAACAATGAGAACATACCATGTCTGAAACGAAACATAAAGAATCCATTACCTTTGATTCTTGAATGAATGGTTGAAGGAAAATATGTCAATCCGGCATTATCACCGACTGCTACCAAGAATACAGGCAGCATGATGTGTGTTGGTAAGAATCCCCAAATTGTTCAGAAACACCAGCAAAAACTGCAACATCATTCTCTAGGTTAGCAATTAATGGAAGAACAATTCTCAACCCAAAGAAAAAAATGAAGACAACAGCCAAAGAAAAGCACAATTAGACAGAAATACCTTAGTAACCTCGTTTCTCAAATTATCTTCTTTCTGAGGTAACATGCAGACCAGCTGTATCAAATCAGGAAAGCAGTTGGTATGCATCCATTCAAATGTGGCCAGTCGACATGCCCCTAGCCAGATATAGAATCTCTCAGAGAGGATTCAATGTTGTAGTTCTTTTCAAAAGATCAAATGATTTTTCCTCCGAAAATGAACAATAATTAGAAGAATTAAATAGAAAGCAGAGCTTACCCTGCATACAATTCAAGCAAGGAACTAGGAAAGCTCCCTTTGACACTGAAGCAGAGAAAATGGACAAGTCTCAATTGCATTCTGCTGCACAAAAAAGCATTCTACTAGCATTCTCAGTAGAACTTCAATATTCCAGCGCTCTCTTTCACCTAAAACACGCAGCTGTGACTCCATAGACCCTTCACCCCAGAAGAAGGGGACAACGCTGAAAATATTTGAAGAGTAAAACGTTAAGAGGTTAAAGCATCACAAACCTTCGGGAATCACAAGAGAGAAATCAATGGCACAAACAAGATACCTGAGCAGAGCTCAAGATATAAGAAAGTAACACTCTCAAAATATGGTCCAATTTGTTTCCCCAGTTGATAACTGCAGGAAGTAGATCTTTAAGTGTAGTTTCTACCACCACTCCAGATGGATCGCAGACCAGTTGGAACATCAAATCCTCCACCTATCAACAAACAGAATTGAGATGTTGGAGAAGCTTTATATTGTATAATTATATTCTTTTACTTTTTTCTTCTAAGCCATCATATTAGGGTAAGGGGAAAAGGCTCCATTCCCTAGACCAGTGTCATCAACCTGTTCTAGAGCTTACATTGTAGCCAAACTGTCAAGTCAGAATTCTTCGCCATGATTGCCTCGAAGCATATTTAGTGAGGCTGACCTTGAAATATTTGTCCAAATTCGGAAAGAGTGGAAGCAGCAAGGCCAGATTACGAGCAGCAGCCTCTCGGACAACAGTTGCTGAATCTTCTATCAGTTGTTGCACAATAGACAAAATAAGAGAATCACGAATCTCAGGCCGGACAAATTCTGCAAGCTCTCCACATGATTGTGCAACCAGCAACCGACGTTCTTCATACATGTGATTTTCTTGATTCATGAAAAAGAAAATTGAAACCAAAATTAAAAACATGAGATATATACAGTAAACTAGGGTCCCAGCAAATTCATGACCAGAACTCACCTGTTCCCAACACTGAGGAAGCAATTCCATTTCTGTTCTCATCTCTCCAACATTCTTAGCAAGGGTAACACAACCTGAAATGAAGCCAAATGAAGCAAGTTATGATCAACCTACAGAACTATGGACCATAAATGTAATACTTCAAGCATTAACCTACATCCATTATAATTTTTTCTCTGCTTTTCATCTGGACGTTTGATCAAATTAATATGTGTGGGTCAGGGAATCTCGTGTGCTGCCATCTGGATGGCGCTCAATTGCACACATTATCAGAGGAAGAAGCTCCTGTCGTTAATAAAAAATATGAAAAGTAAATCTCAACCCAAAAAATGCCAGACAGATGCACTCATAAAAATAAATTGGTTCGTGGCAAACCTCCCGATGTTTTATCAGAACATAGGAACATCTTGGGCAAGGCATCTGCTAGAGCTGAATAGTTCCTAAACCCTGTCAAGTACAATAACATTTCAGCTATCATGTATCAAGAAGTTAAGATTAAAAAAAGTTTCAAGGTTTTTACAATGGCAGATGAAGATAGAATATTCCCAATTTTGATACATTTCACAAACACTCACCCGATTCCTTAATAAACAAAGAAAAAGATAAAATTCAAGGTGAAAGGATCTGATATCCTAAATATGGAGAATGAACTTGCCGTTTTGTCAGCTTCACCCCTAAGACTGCCTGATTTCATTGAGCCATGTCTTCTGGAGGTGGTTCATTCGTTTGGGAATACTTTCACTGTTTTCTAAAGCATTATTTTCATTTGAAGGACTTGTAAATGCTCCTGTGAAACTTCCTCAGGTTGTTTAATGTGTTATCATCAAGGGCATGAGTAGCCAATGACTGAGCTTCTTCTTCACTGTTTACCACTTCAACCATACTAACTGGGTGAGAGATTACAATTTTATTTTGATCCACTTCAACTACTTTCTCTTCAGTCTGCATAACTCAGAATATACAGAGCCTACAGAGTCAGGAGCATTTGTACTTTTTGCCTTTAATCTTTCAATTTCCATCTGCAAAGCTTTATCTCTTCCTTGTATTTTTCCAAGGACTGGGATTGGACACATCACACATCCTAGCTACCACATTCTGTGAAGAACGGGATCCTTCAATATGCATTTTGAGTGCAGTGATTTCAGCTCTGCAATCATTAAGTTCCTTCCGTTGGTGCTCCAAAGTCTTCCTCAAATCTTGCACCTGCAAAAGTACATCGTGCATATGCTTAATGAGTTTGAATAAAAAATGCTAGGAAGAGTATATAGAGTGAACTTACCAGTTTCTCCCTGTCCTTAAGATCCTATGAAGCGCTTCTAATGATTTGGTTAAGGCACTGATTTGACCTTCGGAAACTTCTTTATTTTTCAGTAAGCTCTCCTTTTCTATATTAAACTCTCATTCGCTTTTAGCAATGACCATTTTCTCGAAGCATAGCAATTTTCTCCTGCCAGCTAAGAGCCCTTATATATGTAGGCAATTTTATTATTCTAATTTTTTGGATAGAAAGCTGTAAACTATATTAAAGAAGAGAGTGAGGTTGTTCAATGGACTAGAAATCACAAATAGATAAAAAAAAAAAAATCCAAAATTGGAACAATTCCCTACATGATAGAGAAAAAAAAAAAAAAAAAAAAATTCTATCTATATACGGGCAATCTAACAAAGCAGAAAATTTCACATCCCATGACACAGAAAATTTTCATTTCCAGGGATAATAATAATAATAGAGAAAATTATTGAATATCAATCATCCAAGATACAATTCTTATGTACAAAATGGTAA